TGCTCGGCGGCGGCACCTCTCCCCTCTCCCCTGCTCGCCGCTTTAATTTTTCTTCTGTTGAAGCACGCAGCTCTGAGCGGCTCTAGGATAAACTCTGAGCGAGCTCTGTTACTGGCTTTGAGTCAGAAGTGTCTGGGAGCTCTAATGAAAACCAAGTGGAAGGCAAGGCTCAGCCACCTGTCCCCGGGATCCCCAGCCAAGCGCTCCGGGCTTCCATTAATCAATGGGTCTGGCTCTTGGAAAGCGGCTTTTTGCGCGCTGGACTTCTACCCTGAGGCGGTGGCAAAGCGGGCTTGGGGACCTGGAAGCCCTCTGGTAATTCCTCTAAGCCAGATGCCAAAGCCTTGCTGGCACTGCCGGCAATTCTGCATTTCCAAAACTGTTACAAAAGCCCTTGCAAGAAGAAAAAAGGGGTAGGAAAGAAGCTTTTTATATTGCAGGTCTGCAGTCCTGCCCCATCTCCCCAGGAGCGGTACCTCTCCCTCCTCACTGCTTCTCAAAGATACTGCCTGGTTACTTTTCAAGGGAAATTAGCTTAGGGGAGAATATTTTTTTTTTTTCCTTTTTCTTACAGACATGAGTTGCTTTGATTGCTTAGAAGCATGATTTCCTGAAACCTGCTCCTTTCTGGCTCTTGCAGTGAGGTTCACAATAAAACGTATTGTGGTTTTGAGCTGGGTTTTATTTAAGAAAATGCCATTCTGAGTTACTCTCTTTCATGAGGCAGATGGAGAAAGAGATGAAAAGCTGACACTTGGGATACTTCATTTCTGCTCTTTAATTGAATGGTTTCTTTTCTATAAGAAGAGGCTTTTTCCATGGGAATTAAAGTGAAACAAAGGAAGAAAGAAAAAATAGTGGCTGTTGATTGCATTTTTTCCTTTATGAAGCCTTTCATCTCATTCTTCTAGGACCAATTCTATAAATTAGGATATTTAAACTCAATGCTTTTTTAGATTCAGGGACACTTCTTGTTACTTGCTACCTCTTGTGCAATGCCTGCTTAGGTGTAAGCCACGCTGTCTTGAAAGACAGGCTTTGAGCCTCACCTCTC